CCGTACAGCAGCCTTTACTGTACCCTCCCCTAAAACCATCCACAACACACCCCCTACTCCCCTCTACTAAACCTACTCCACCTCCTCCACACTCCCCCACACCTCATAACCACAACCGGCACGGGGATCAAAACCCCACACACCGCCGCCAACACCAAAAACCCCGGTCCAATCCCCAACCTCCCGGTCAACGGCGGGATCCCAAGCGGCAACAACGTCCCACCCAGACAGCGCGCAACAAGCACCATCGTCATCGCACTCGCAGAGTAGAGTCCAAAGCTCTCGACGACGTACAGCGAGAGGGGCACCCAGATGAGCATCATGATGGTGCCGAGGAGGGCGGCAGCCAACAAAATGAGCGAGACGGACCAGAGGGCGTGGGGTGTCCAGCCGTAGAGGGCCGCGACGAAGGGCATGAGGCTGGCGCCCAGGATCATGAGGGGGAGGCGGTATTCGGGGACGGGGTGGTGGTGCGGACGCGTGCCGAGGGTGAGGTAGATTTTGTCGGAGAAGAGGTTGGAGATTGTTACGCCTAGGGTTGCGCCGGTGCCTGGGGGGTGTTGTTGGTATATAGATTAGGAGGAAAGAGGGGGGAGAAGGGGGGACTTACTAAAACACAGAAACGAACTACCCACCAACGCAGGCGAGAACCCATAAACCCGACTTAAAATCCTCNAAAGAGGGGGGAGAAGGGGGGACTTACTAAAACACAGAAACGAACTACCCACCAACGCAGGCGAGAACCCATAAACCCGACTTAAAATCCTCGGCAAAGTCGTAGCCAAGATATAAAAAGAAGAAAACGTCAGACCCCCATAAAAACTCATAATCTGCAGCACCACCGAGCTCCTCAACACACTGAGCGGTCTCTTCACACTCGTCCACAGGATTCTCCATCCCGAGGACGAAGCATCCGAATCTCCTTCCCACGCACATTTCCAGTTCGCATTCCCGGTTTCCTTGCGTAAGCGAGCGGCCCGACGTTGCAGAATGGGAACTTTATACGTCTCCCGAAAGAGGAAGAAGAAGAAGAGTTCGCAGATGATGGCTACCACCGCCGAACCCCAAAGCACGATTCGCCATCCGAATCGCTCGGCGATGGCACCGCTTAGTGCGGGGCCTATTGCGCCGCCGAGGAGAGGGGCGAGCATGACGAGACTCATGCCTTTCCCTTGCTCTTCCACAGGGAAGATATCTGCGATGATGGATGGGTTGAGGACGTTAGAAGCTGTTGCGCAACCTGTTAGGAATCTTGCGAAGATGAGCGTTTTTGAGGAGCTTGCTGTTGCTGAGAGAGCGGTGGCGATGATGAAGAGGATGTTAGCTATGTTGAAGATTGGGTAGCGGCCATAGATCTCTGAAAGAGGGGCGATGAGGAGTGGCCCGAAGGCTTCTCCCAGCTCCCAGATGGAGACTAGGAGGATGGAGGAGGATGTGTTTTCAGCGCCGTCAAGATTGAGAATGATTTTGTCGGCGATGGGGACTACGCCTATACACGTGAATGTCCTATTTTTTGAAGTTAGATATCACATCCTCTCATCTTTATCCATTCTTTTGACCCGGGGGAGGGGGGAAGTGAAATTCAGACAAGGTGACGCGGTATGAGATATAAAAGTGACAAAGAATTTCACCTACACAGTAAAAGCCATAAAAGCAAGTAAAAGCACAATCCCCCTCTTATACGCCGGACTCCAATCCATAGGATTCTCCTCATCCCTCCCCTTCCTATTAAAATCCACAATCGGGTTCTCGGTCGTCGTATATTCGTATTCGACGACGTGACCCAGTAACGGCTGGGATTCATCTAGCATCCCCTCCATCGTCACTTCCTTACTTTCGTGAATCGTTATAAATTATGTATTCCTGTACTCGATATGGGATATGGAATGGGAATGAGATATTGATATTGACATTGTCTGATGAAGACTGGTGTAGTAAAGAAATTTATTGTTCAGCCGTGGCAAGAGTGGATCGTCGGAAAGGTTAAGTGAACTGAACTGGGGGATACCTTGTCCGTTTCCCCCGGTTTCTCCATTGGTACTAATCTAGATATCGTTAGACGGCGCGTTATTTTTCGGGGATAGGGGTTAGTTACTAATAAGGTAGCTGCCGCGTACTGTGTAGGTACTTAACTTTAATACAACATTTACATTTATACCTCATAAGTAAAAACCTATAACAACCTATTTCTTATTCTTTCCAAGTCCCTCAACTCTTACTTCTACAAGCCCGAAAAACCCAACAACAAAACAACCTCCATTTCCTCCCCCCCAAAAAGCAGAACCATTCCATTCCATTCCTTCCCTTCACATTCCCGTACCCTTCTTTCCATTCTATCTAAATATACTATACTCTACCACGCCATACCCCATTAAAATGATAAAACAATTATCCGTACCCTTTCCAAGTTCTTATTACTTATTAAAAACACGGTTTACTAGCCTACAAACTACCTAAAATTTACCATATCAACCCCGCCATCCATCTATCCATCTATCCATCCATACCTCCGTACGTAAGTATCACACTTATCATATAATCCAATCCAATCCAATCCAATCCAATCCAATCCAACCAAATCACCTTCCAAAATCCTCCGTCCCTATACGGAGTACGGTACTCTAAAAAACCTCACTTTCTAGCCCTTTCATCCCTACCTATCCTAGCTAGAGTCCTACAAAAGAAGATTTATAAAAACAATAATAAATAAACTTAATGAGTAGCCTTCCCCCTTTTATTGAGGAAAAAAATTTAAAAAATTAATTCCCTCCTCCCTCCTTTCAACAAGCCACTGAACAAAGCAGCGTCCTACTATTCAGATTGGCGAGAGGACTAAGGCAAACCTGAATCGAGCTTTCCCTAGGAACTGGCAGGTGCATACTGGTACGAGTAGAGTAGCTGTTACGGAGGGGGGGAGGGAAAATCGGATCCATACCTATTCTACCTAGTAGAGGAATAAATGAATAGGGTAAGGGGTAGGGGTATATTATACCTCACATAAGATTGCGTAACACAAAGTCAAAAAGTCAAGTAGTTGTATGTGGAAGAGAGAGAGAAACCATTATTATCCATTTGTAGTAGTACACGTAAGCCCTCTAGCCCTCAGGGAAGAGAGTCATGTATGTACGTCTGTATGTGCTCGTGCCAGCCATATCGTATATATGACATACCCACCGACCGAGTCATCGTATGTGTAACCCTCCCTTGAAATCTAATACAGCAAAATATTTTCACAAAGTACAAAAAGATTTAAACGCCCACGCTATGTTTTGGTGATCCTGATCCCCCCATCGCTCGTAATAACCAACGAAGTAAAATCAGTTGATGAAACGCAGAAAGCTTTTCATTGGAAAAAAAAAAAAAAAAAAAAAAAAAAAAGGGACAGTCGAGCCGATTTATGACGATTTCATCGGATGATCGAGAATCAGACTCGCATAGCAACGTTTTCTCTCAAACTTGGACCGCCAGTTTTCTCAGAAGTCGCGGTGCCCGAGCGTGTTCCCGTGCGAAAAGTTCCATTCTTGGATTGCGGCGGGGCACTGGCTGTCGAGTATGAAGCTTTGGCAGCAAAAACCTTGGCTCTCAATGCACTTCGGATGTCGTCCTCGCTTCGCTCCTTCCACTCTTTGTATCCGCTAGAGCTCAATGGCCAGAGCACTTGGTTGTTGCTGCTCGTGTTCAGGAAGTCGCTAAATTGTGGTGCCTTGACACTCATCAAGACATCGAGTTCTTGACTGAGTTCCTTGCAGTAGGTGTCGAGAGGGAGATCGTTGACGTCGTTTCCAAATGGGTTTTCGAGTTCGTTTCCGATGGCGGCGAGACCCATGATAATATATGCTGCAGCTAGAACACCAGGAATGGTGATCCATCCGAGTGCGCTATACAATTGGAAAGGGAGAATGTAGATGTATAAGATGACGATTTGTGAGATCAAGATATTGTAACCGATTGGTAGAGGGGTGGTAAGAACACGCTCCGCTTGGGCCTGGGCATCGGTCAAACTTGCGAGACAAACCACTATTTCGCACGTTAGCTGGTTTCAATTGTGGTCGTAAAAAAGATATTCAAAAAAGACACCTACGCATTTGACTCGAAACGACGGCCTGCTTGAGAGTACCGTTACTGTTGATTTCTTCAATGTAAGAGCCTAGGTAGGTCAAGATTTCTAGAGGAAGGTTTCCGAGTGGGGCTTCCGCTCGCTTGAGGACCTTTCGAGGGTTGCTGCTAGCAAAGGTGATGCCAAGGTATTCTCCAACTTTCTTGAAAACGTTCTTCTTAGGCTCGATCAAATTGGAATCCTTGTGTGCAGCCATGGCGAATGTATCGAGGTGGCTGACCAGGCTGTGGATATCAGGGTAGTGTGCGTAAGGCTCAAAACGGAGCTTGTGTTTGAGGGAAACAGCAAATGCAAGAATCATGTTGATCGACGTCACCTTGGCGAGTAAGTCCTGTTTGCCAAGCTCACCCTCTCGTTCAATGGTATGGACCCAGATGTATCGAGCCAGATTTCGGCATTGGACTGAGACCACGGTCCAGGACTTTCGCCCATCGGAGTAACGTTCATATGCGGTGCTGCTACGGAAGGACAGGGCCAAACCGACGACGAAACCAAGAACTGTCAGGAGAGTATTTGAAATGCCCACTGAGAGTAGAGATTAGAGGATGTGGATGGCATTTGGAGGGAATTTCGGGTTGCTTACGATCGAAAACAAACTCGGATATGCAGGTAATGAGAGTAGCCCAACCTCCAGCAAAGGTCAATGGCAGGATCATCTGAGGGAGGACACTGCCATGCATTCGCAGGAAGTAAGGTAGTTTGGAATGTCTGTCGAGATCTCTAGGACCAACCTGTACAATGTTAGACAGGCAGAATCACGTATTGGGCGAATTGGCTCATACGAAGTAGTCCTCCATCTGCACACTGTTTCGTCGCGATCCAATTGGAGTGGTGGCGAAGCTGGTGGTGCCAAGCTCGAAGCCTGACTTGGTGAGAGTGGTGTTTCGCGAATCTGGAGTCAACTTTTTGGGGGCGGTGTCGTTTGCTGCTGCTGTGATAGCAACTCCGCCCTGGTTTCCTCCGTCTTCGGCCATTTTGAAGTAGGTGCGTGGTGTTGTGAGTCGAAACTCAGAAGCAATTGGTGGTAATGAGTGAGAGACGAGAAATGGTCGAGATCGAGTCGGAGGCTGCGTGAGAGCTTCGTCCAAGATGCGCGATGGAGAGGAGAAGAGAAGAGAAGTTGTCAACGGGGCGGAATGATGTTGAAATATGGAGTCAAGTAGACACGAAATTACAAAGAAGTTTGTGGAGTTCTGCCCAGGCGGAATGGGAGAGGGAAGGGAGTCTTGTTTAATAAAATTCTCATGATTTATGGAGCTCACGCCGTTGGGGGGTCTTCGCGTTGCCAAGAGCCATGGTTCGTGGTGAAGGGGTGGATTCCCTAGTGGGGAACGAGAACAGGGGATTCCGTATACGAATGTGTACAGTGTCGTGGATGTGGGTGGACGATGAGGACCCACCACTGGAGGGTCCGTTTCAGGGATTCGCCTCTCGAAGCAAAGAGACTACTCGGGTACAGAGTGCACTCCGTACTGGTACCTCAATTGTTTCCTTTTCTGGAGCTCCCTGCTGGGCGGTCGGTGTGTATCTCTTCTCTGGAGAGAGAACCACGAATTGTCACTTGAGGGAATGGCGCAACACAACTACACCCAGCCCTGTGTCCAATCACTCCAGTCACATTATGAATATATTCTCATTGGCCGCCGCCAGTGAGACCGAACGACAGGCGCCATCCGATTGGGCTGCCCCTTTCCTCAGGATCTGGTTCCTGGCATCTTCTCGCGGGCCCAAAATGCAAGGTGCAAGCCCAAGGGGCTTGAAGGGGAAGCTCTAGCCTCTAGGGAGTAGCTTCTAGCTTGCACGGCTCCTGAGTCCTGCACTTTGGTCTTTCTGCCCATTGGTCCATTCTGATATAGAACTCGTTGGGAGTCGACCAGCCTTATGAACCAACGGAAAGATGGCCAAGGGTGCACATCAGACCCCATTTGCTTTGCTTTGTGCATGTTGCGCGGTCACAATTTTCAACTTTGCCTGCGCTGCGCTGCGGTGAGATGGAGAGCATACAGCACGAGTAGCAGTACGAGCAAATCAGGGGCGATTGTCCCTCTCTTGCAACCGCTGAATACCCACATGAGGCTAGAACAGTCGGAACAGCATCGCAGTGCAGCCTCGTGCATCAGTGGTGCTTGTCCCTACCGAGTACACACCAGCTGAAGCATTCCAAGGTTAAATTTAACCTGCTGCAGCTTTAGCCCGCCGAGGATGGCGGCTGTCTATTTCTTCTTGACTTTACTAAGTACGGGAAAAATTTCACGAAGATATTCACAGTAGTTATCCATATCAATTTACTTCATGTACGAACGTCAGGTACTTCTAGAATCCTTAGAAGACCGGCCAGACCGGCAGATCCCTCCGATCGCCACGAACAGGGGACCTGTCGTCTCAGCTCCTGGTTTCAGCGTCCCGCCACTGTGTTTGGGAATCTTTACCCGGTGACTGTCTGATTTTTTGGAAATATCCGACAAATCAGAGACTTCTGAACAGCAAACATCAAACAAAGAAGCAAGAATCCCAAGGAATAAGCATCGGGGATTATTGGATGGATCGTGGAAGCGAGAAAACCGTTTCTCGAACCCAACGTATGGTAAAGGGCATCCAATTCGGGTTGATCACCGCTTACCCTAAGACAGTTGGCTTGGAATTCTTCGAGGGGCCTTGGAGGAAATGTTTCTTGAAGGAAGAAATCATCACAAAGAAGCATTGATCGACGTATGGGAGAGGAAGGATCGAATTCTGGTTTCTGGTTGTGAACTCGTATTTGAGTGTTGTCAGGTCCTCGACGTCGTCTGAACATCCCAGCGCTAGGGTAGATGATGTTGTCGGGGCTGAGAATATCGGTTTTTGGAACAAAGAACTGGTACCGGTAGATCTTGGAGGGAATTGGGTGGGTGGCAGCTATTGTAGGACAAAATTATCCCAAGGAAAGCATTTCTGCTCTTGTTTCTTCAACAGAAAACGAGAACTTGGAGATGGATGAGATTGAGGCTATGGTTGCACAATCATTCGTGCCATATCGTGGTGTTTTGGTGCTCCGGACTTTTCGAGATATCCGAGTTCTCCGCTCATTTTTTGATAAAGGAATAGGACCTTGACCATCTTTTGACCAAATCTGCTTGCACACAAAAAGAAGTCAATTCGGTCAATCTTGATCGTTATCGCTGGTTGGATCAAGTTGACACATGGACTGCACTCATTACCGTTTATTGCCCCTCGAATAGTAGTAGTGCCAGTGCCGTAAACATGAGGGGAACCAAGCTCATGATGGATGTTTGGAGTAAAAGGGATCACCACCTCAGGATTAATTGTCCGAAGCGGCGTGGCGCGGCGCCGGCGGAGGGAAGGAACGAGAGGCGACAAGTTTACGATGAAGGGGGTGGTTGGGGGGGTGCTTTCAGAGGCTGATGATCGACACTCATCTCGCTGCTGCAGTGAGCAATTGGGGGGGAATCCTTGAGCTGGTGTTGTTCTATACGAGAAGGTAGAGTTGTTGATGCAAGTTTAAGGAGTTCTTCTTATACCTCTCTCAAGTCTCACAAAAATAGAGCTGCGGGTGGACGGGAGCAAAAAAATACCACTTATTCTAAAACCACGTGAGGTGTGTCACGTGGCACGACCCTGAGTCAGCTCCCCGTCTCGGCCATCACATGCCAGAAGACAACGCCAAACTCCCTAGTTGGAGACTCCACATCCCCGCCATTTGGTTTCCAAGCATCGACAGCCGCATTTCTCATTGGTAGCACAGCAGTTCTCACTCTCTTTTCTTCACCTCGGCACGTTCGTTGCCCATTTTATGTCATCCAGACCACAAGACCTCAAGTGAAGCGAACCCATTTCTGTCTACAAAGCCCTAGTTGGATCAAATCAACGTCAACGTCAACCTATAGCTACAGCTTCCCTTGGTGGCCTTCCTTTCATTCCCCTCCCCTCCTCGAATATCTCCTAGCTCCTGTTTTTTGAAACTAAAAATCTGCTTTCCTGTCAAAACTTGCTCGATGTTGTTCTCATAGTCTCGATTTCTTTGACGCTTCACATGCCAAATACAGAAGTGCGGCGCATAGCTTTCTTTCACCACAACATCCAACGCTACCATCACCAACAGGTGTGAAGATGATAGGTAATTCAATCCTACCTAAATCACATCAATTTCCTAACACCCAATAGATCATGTCTTAGGTCGGCCTTCTGTTCAATTCCGAAAGATTCAAGTCCTGGCTGTGGTTTCTTTTTGGTCATTCTACCTCTTCCGGTAATTGCTACTCTATATAACTTGAAAATATTTACTAAGCTCCAATTAGAGGGCATAAACATGGTCCGCCTACCCTTCGAAGACTGTCCCGAAGGCTTTCCGGCTTCATCACACCATGGCAGACCCTTGTCATGACTCTACTGTATCTCTACGTTGCACGAAACCTGGGAAAGCTCATTGGTCTCGAATCCCCGGAACCACTCGCGAACCTCTACACGAGATCCTATTTTCGAGCAACATGGGTTACAACTGCAATGGATGCCGGTTTTTGGAGTGCAATGCGGATTCGGAGAAAGTGGATGCGGGACATTGCTAGCATGGTTTTTACTGTTTACTACTTGATTGCCGCTGAACAAGCGGATGAAAAGGTAAGAAAAGTCAGAGCTATGTTGACCGTGGAACATATGCGAGTCAGCTGGAATAAAGGGACGACACCATATTTGAAAGCTCTCCAAAGTCTAATGCGCCCGAGATTGATGAGATATCCACCTCGGCAAATTCGAATTCCTCGACCACCCAATAGCGATTACCAGGAGCCAGTCAATGGTTGGCTTTTCTTTGACGGGCCGCTTTCCGCCCTGAAAGACCACGATAAATTTGTGTTGGATATTCCGGGTGGTGGGTTTGTGGCAATGGATCCCAGAACCAATGACGATAAATTGATGGCCTGGGCTGGAAAGACTGGGTTACCAGTGTTGAGTTTGGATTATCGAAAGGCACCCGAATTTCCATACCCATATGCTCTCAACGAATGTTTCGATGTATATTGCACCATAGTGGCAAGTAAGGGTCGATGTGTTGGATTATCTGGAGATGTGATGCCAAAGATTGTGATAAGTGGTGATAGTGCAGGTGGAAATCTTGCAACCAGTACCACTTTGATGATTATCGAATCTGGAGTAACCGGCAGAAGACACTTACAAGGCCAGCGAGCTCTACCCATTCCTGATGGACTTGTTCTTATATATCCGGGCCTGGATATGAATATCGGAAATTGGATGTCGGATGAGCAAATGACTTTGATCAAGGACCGAAAGAGCCGAAAGACGAATCGAAATATTATTCGACGGAAGAGTATGCAATATACCATGGCAGCAGGAACACCTCATCAATCTGAGGATGAGGATTCAATGCAAACGTCCAAGACTGAATCTCCAAGCTTGGAAGAAACAGCAAATCATCCAGGGTCCATTACTATGCCCTCACCCCAATACTCCACTGCGGCACCAGCAGTTCTATCCCCCGTGGCGACGACGAAAGCCCACGACAGGGAGCAGCAATCACATCACCCTGAACCTCTGAAGACTCGCCTTGCAATGTCAAGTATGATTTCATATTTCAATGATCGAATCCTTTCTCCTGAAATGATGCGAGCCATGATCATTTTATATATCGGTCCTCATAACCGACCCGATTTCTCCACAGAATATCTTCTCTCCCCCATTTTGGCACCTGATAATCTGCTTGCGGAATTTCCAAAGACTTACTTCCTCACCGGGGAACGAGATCCCTTGGTAGATGATACCGTCATCTTTGCAGGACGATTACGAAGAGCCAAAGCCGCGAAACACGCACGAAATCAGGCGACGAACTTGAGACCCCACAAGGAGTTTGACGAGAGAGATGTCGTGGAGGTAGTTCTCATCCCAGGGATATCCCACGGTTTCTTGCAATTCGTTGGATGTTTCCCCGAAGGTTGGAAGTATATTTTCCGCTGTTCAAGATGGATCGAACATATCTTCGCTGCATCCGAAGAAGAAGAAGCGAACCACGCGGGGACCATGACGCCGCGTTACCACCGGAGAAGACCTACCGAGTCCTCGGGTGACGAGGATGCAGGGTTGGAGATGAGTATGACATCCAAGTCCAAGGGCAAAGAAAAGGAACGTGTGGAGGATGAGAGGAAACGGGAAGAGCGGCGACAGAAGGAGAAATTGTTGAAGGAGCAATTGAGAGAAAGCGAGGAGAAGAGAAATGGTAGTCTGGGTGTGAATGGGAAGGGAAGGGGCAGAGGTGGTCTGGGCGATCGCAAGAAAAGTATGGTTAGTTTGGCTAGTAGTGATGATTTACTTGGACGACGTATGTTGGGTCTTGCGGGTCCGTTGACGGGGAGGCCGGAGGGGATGCATGATTAAAATATGTGATTGGGTTTCTTTGGGGTAGGCATATATGTATAGGATTGGATTGGATTGGACTTTGGGAGACGGGATTGAATGAATGGATGGTATGTATGGATGGATGAATGGGAAAGTGAGCCTTGGATACAGTAGGGAATGAAGCATATGCATATGATACGATATCAATTGAATAACCTAGTCTTAAAAAGTATCAAGTATGGATAGATCTTTAGCTACCTACATCAGACCTAAATCATACCTACATCTATACCTACAGCGTTTGAAAATGGTGGATGATGTTTTGCTACTATATACGATACTGTAGGATGGATATGTTGCTGGTAAGTTTTGCATGCAGTTGCGATCGTTTATACTGTATATATAGAGAGAGGTATATAGGTGGGTAGGTAGGTATATATTGGTTTCTTTGAACTAACTTCTTTCTTTATAGCTTGTTGATATAGATACTTTGTGTCTGTAGTTTATGGGTTGTGGGTTGAAGTAATGAAGTATTGAAGTGTTGAAGTGTTGAAGTGTTGAAGTATGGTAGGAGTAAGTACTGTACGAGTACGTGATATGTACGATGAGTTTTGAAATACAGTATTTCTTATTTCTTATTTCTTATTCTGTTTTTTTGTCTTATGTGTCTTGTGAGTCTTGTGGGTCCTGGAAGATAGGATGATGGGAATGATGGGGGGGATGGGAGTCTCGGGTATATAGTGTGTTAGTTGTGGTTAGAGGGTTATGTGTATGTAAGAGTGTAGGTTTGTTTTGTGCCTTTTCCAATTCCAATCATTGGGCAATTTGGGTTAGTAAGTTGGTGTCTGTGATGTACGAGTGGTGTATTATAGAGGGGTGGAGAGATGGTTGGGTCGTGTATGGTGGGACGAGGCCTAGGAAATAAAGGTGAGGGGATAAGGGGGGAGTATGGGTTTTTTATGGTAGGTTAGTTTTAGGGTCATTAGATGTTATTAGATGTTGCTGCACATTGTTAGATATTGACCTTAGAGTTCCAATCTCTGAAAGCGTTATTGACACTTCTGCTTTGTATAGGAAGGGGAAGGGGGAGGTGAGTCGAGTCTGTGGTAGGAGATGTATACTTGGGGTGGTGAGGTGATTTGGTAGTGTCGCTTGGCGCTTAGTTTTCGTGTAACGTGTTGTCTTCTTGGCGTGTGGTTGCCGTGTGGTTGGTGTTGGTTTTTTCCTTGTGTGTGCCACTCTCGCTTACAAAGGGGTTGGCGGTTGACAGGTATCTTGGTACCGAGGTATTGTATGTATGGGAGTCTTGTTGTATTTTAAAGGGATGGAGATGCTTTCTTTCTCTGGCTCTGATTTTGAGAGAGTGTGTGTATGGGTGTTGCTTCGGAGGGTTAGAAGTTGGAAGTTGGAAGGAAGAAGTCTACTTATTCGTAATACTGGGAATTATCAAAACTGATTTATACTAAACGAGTAATAGCGGGGAAATATAAACCTCCCCCCCCCCCTCATATCATAGTCCCTCAATCATCAACACCACAACAACATCCCCAGTCCCACCATTAAATCTCTTTTACCAGCATCCTCTCTACAACAATAAGAAGGTGGTGTTGGCAATAATAACTTCTACCTGGGTGAATTTAGTCGTCAACAAGGCGTTACCCTACAAGGTCGACGACAAGGCGGTATCCAACGAGGCGTGGTATGGTACAACCTCAGTTTTTTATTCAACCGCCTAGATTTGGTATTAGATATGGTGGACAACAGTACGGTGGTTTTGGTGCCCAACAGGGCGGCTATAATCCGCTTATTCCCCACCCAGGTGTTGATGTTTATGGTAACCCAGTAGGCAACCAATCTGGTCAGATGATGGCGGGTGGGCAGGTTTTGTTGTATAAGGTTTGGGGTGTGCTAGGAGCAGGAGGAGGGAGTCATTTTTGTGGTGCTTGGAGGTATGATTGGGCTTTTTGGGGAGAGGAAGGTTGATGGGGACAGGAAGGTTGATGGGAAGAGGAAGGGAGGGTAGGGGGCTGTGAGATGGTTGTTGGGAATTATTATTGGGTTGTTGTACGGGCATTTGAAGACTGATGAGGATGTTAAGATTTTCTAGGTTGGGTTTGATGGTGGTGTTTAATATGGTAGGTCTTTCTTGCTTAAAAAATGATTGTTCTGTGTTAGTCTGGGTATTCAACTCATTTACTTCGGGCATGAGTCTGGTGTTTTGAGGACCAACCGAAAGGTGGCTCTGAGGTTGGTGTAGGAGATAGCTTTGAATTGGTCGTGTTTCTTGATTGGAGAGGGGGGTAAGGTTGTATGTTGGGATTTGGGACTTGAGCTTTGGTGTTTGAGTTGGAGTCAAGTGGGAGTGAGATACGACTGAGATAGGAGTTGGAAAAAGTTGGGTGGGGGTTTGGTAGAGAGGCGCTTTAGGGAATTGATAACCCTTTTCTTCGTGTATTCCACTTTGAGGGCAGGGGGAGTAGTGGATATCATGTTGGGATAATGTTTTGCACGAAAGGAAGTTGGTGTTGATTCAGACTTCAAAGGTCAGGAAGCGTGTCGTTCTTCCTCGATGTCAGGTAACTGGATATTGCTTCACACAAGTGTCGTACACCTTAAAGGGAAGAGTGAATAGCCTGTTAGGATAAGACTTTGTGGGAATGGAAGTTGGTGTTAGTTCAGAATTCAAAGGTGAGGAAGCGTTTCTTTCTTTCTTGATGTCTGGCAATTGGATATTCCTTCACGGCGGTGTCGTAGTGATGTCCTGGTGATCTATGGTATCAACCAAACGGCGCTATTCTTACTGACTGGCATGCTGTTGTTTAGAGGACATTTCAAAATTGAGACAAAGCCAGGAGGCACTGGCAAATTGATCAATTCCAATATATTTCAAGGTTGTTGTCATCAACCCCAACATTCCTACGACTTTGCCCCTGCTATGTATGACTGGAGCGACCAGGAAATCTAATCAAGTTCTCTCATCGTGAGATCTTCTGTTGGCTCCAACAATGGATGCGGAACTTGGTCATTGGGTGGTACTGGGTATGTATGTGGGTCCTCCAACAACGGTGAGAAACTCAGTTATTGGGTGGTACTGGGTACGTGGGTGGGTCTTCCAACAACAACAGTGTTGGTAATTTTTACCTCAGAGACCTAAGAAGAAAGAATATCGGAAGTCCAGTCATGATGTTGAGATTGGAATAAAGAATAGAATTGCTATAGAATGGTGAGAAGTTGAATGGATGTAAGTTTTCTTTTTTGCTTGATGATATCGCAGATACACTGAACTTTTTCAATCCTATAATCAGTCTTACCTCAAATCCCAGAGAATCATGGCTGCGCCAAACCCGCAAAATTCGACGGGGCCTAGATTTTGCGAACACCCTTCAGGGAGGTTTGTAGTATCATGGACCGAAAAGGACAAAGAGCTTTTGAAAGCCGTGCTCAGTCATTTTTGGGTAAAACTTTGGACACCATTGCTCTGGGAAGAACCCCAGCAACCCACATCTGACCTCATGGTGGGTGAGGCCAATATGTCTCGGTTGAAACAAGTAGCTGAATATTACAATGATCATATCACAGAGTACGAGCTGTATGTCAAAGCCCAACTTATACTTGTTACAGAGCAGGATGTTCGGGCGATAATAGAGCACGTCTCTAAGAATCCTAATTTGGGAAAGAATCACTGGATATCTCTTCCTGACGGGAGTATTCCTGTTGGGACTACGCCGAGTGTGGCAGAACTACGCCAACTTATGATGCCCATTGAAGATGCAAAAAGTGCAAAGTTAGCGGCGGAAGGGTAATTCATCGAGGAACAGAAAGTGAAGGATCATTCTGAGTTTTGTTATATCCTGTCATTACCTTTACAACTGATTGGCCATCAGGTTGGTGCTTGTTAGTCTTGCGTACTGTTACAACTCATTGGTAGTTACACACTCATTCAATAAAAAACTTTCTCGAGTACCTCTGAGCTCTAAGTGAGTTGAGATTAAACTACAATGCGACCCTTGCCGAGTTTCCTATTATCAACCTCCTCTCACTCTTCGCTACTTTAACATGTGGTGTGGTCGTTTTACTAATCACCTTGTATAGCTTGCGGGCAGAGAAAGGAAGAATACGGAATTGTTGCGCAGTAAGCGCGGTGACTAGTATGAGCTATATAAGAGTTGGGGGAAGTCATGAGTTCTTCTTGCAAGCTAATCAAGATAATGCTCTAGGCTCATTGTCTTATTAGTTTGGGGCACTCGTAATTCGCGTAAGGAATTTGATGGATCATCTGGAAAATTGGTGGTATAGAAACGCATGCAAATACATTCAGCGTCACGGTAAGTAGACAAGACATTCCAGAATAAAGACCAAGTACTTCATATATTCCTCTCATTCCCACGGCCTTCAAGATGCCAATCCCACATAAAAATTACGACTAACTACTCCCCTCAGTCCCAGTTTCTTCTACACTCTCTTCCTTCGCTTCCCCCCACCCAATAACTCCCAGGAAACCCATCAATCACCCTTCTCAGACGCCACCCTCTGATATTCTCCGTCGGAACAGTAGCACTCGAAATACCCCACGCAACCTTCCTGGCGGCTTTCTCCGGTAGTAATGGTAATACTTCGATATTTGCTGGCTCAGGGAGAAGTCGTGAACTACCGGATGTTCATTGTAGTGTCATGTTTTTGTGGTATTTGAGGGCGCGTTTTAGGACCTCGTGGTCTTCTTGTGTCCATTTTTGGGGTAGCATGGGTTGTTTGGTGGTGATTTGTTGTTATGACGGAGAGTTGTTTTGGGGAGGATGGGGATGGCCATGGGAATGGGGAGGGGGGTTTTGGATATAAGAGGTATGGGGGACAGATTCACTCTTGTCTCAGTACTTAGAGGGTTCTTTTGTCTTTGGGTGTTGGGTCTTAGTATCACATGAAGTTTCTCGAGGTGTCATTTTATATCTGGACACGTCATGTATACATCGTTGACTTATATTTCATGTGAAGGCCAAACACCTTCACAACCGGCATTCACCTTGCTTATATGTCAATAAAGATTTTATTCATGGGACCTTAGATCAAAATTCCGGTTTCTCCATTTTCTGGGCTAAGCGAAAGGCGTGATATGTGAAGATAGCTGTCAAATTTTCTTGCTAAGCTCAATCAGGTCTACTTCAAGATTAAGGTTATAAAGGCCCCAGTTTAACTGGAATACTGTCTTGCATTCAGTACTCACAATTGCCAGGTAGAGAAAAAAAACAAGCCAGCCATTCTATTCTTCTAATACGATTCTCCAGCCAATAATATTGAAACAAGCCATAAACCAACATCAGCCCCTCTCATATGAAGATCCCCACTCTAATTCTTAACCTCTCCAACAACTTTAACTCTGACCCCCTGACTTCCAGGCATAGCCTCTGCGAGGAAACAGTCTCTTCGCAAATCAATGTCTCTCTCCCTGATGGTGTCAAAAAGTTCAAGCTCGAAACGACGGAAGAGCATTGCAAGCGTGAGGTAGAGTTCTGTGTACGCAATTCTGCGATCTTTGTTAGACACAGTAGCCATCGAAAAACTCAAACATAAACTTTAAGCAGAGGGACTTACTCCATGCCAGGACATTTTCTTGGTCCTTTGTTGAACGGGTAGAAATACTTCTCGAGCGGAGAGGTTGTGGGATCCGGTTGCCATCGTTCCGGCATAAAAGATGAGGGCGAGGTGAATATTTCGGGATTGTAATGAGTGTCACGAATAGAGAGTGAAATTGGCGTTTTTGCTGGAATAGTCCACCTTTTGTATCGAAGCGGTGTTGGTGGAACCAACGGTAAGCGAGAAGAAACAGGCGACGCTATTCTCAACCCTTCTTTGATGATTGAAGTCAGCCAAACCAGGTCTTTTAGCGACCTGTAATCTAGGATCTCGGATTTGATAGGAATTGCTTCCTTTAATTCCTGCTTAAGGCTCCTGAGAACATGGGGGTTGGATAGGATGTGGAAGGTTGTGGTTGCGATGGCTCTTGCGACAGTATCACCTCCTGCGCCCAAAATTGTAAAAGCTTCAGATCCGATACGTGATGCTGTTTTTTCTTCTGGGGGGAGATTGGAGTCAATTATTATCTGGAACAGTTTTTGTCGATCTTCTTTAGATACTTCCGGTTTTTCTTGGGGTGTGGCAGTGAGGAAATCAGCTGCTCTTTTGAGCATATCCTACCGTTCTTATTAAATCTCTCTGTTGAGCTTTGGAGTAATAGAAGGGGGACTCACCTTTTGAAACTTCAGCAGTCTTCCAAAGGTGGGATTTAGCATTTGGATGACAGGTAACGGAATGTAATCTGCGAACCCAATCAAAGAAGGGAATTGCTTGAGCAACGGTGTAAGTGCAGCAACAGCCTCCATGGTACTAGCCCATTCTTCGGCATCCTTTTCATTTTTCTGAAATCCAAAAGCTTCATCGAAACAAATGCTCCCTAATGCGTCGGTTGTATAAGCGAGTACGGTGTTTCGCATCACTACCACTTCATTATTTTTCAAACGATCCGAGAACTTTGCAGACAATATCTCGAGCTGTGTTTTCAATGTAGTTTCAGAAGCGGCTACAGATTTGGTGGAGAAAAATGGACTATTGGCTTGCCGACGTTTGCGATGAAGATTATGGTCGACAGTTCCGAATGCTATCCAGTATTAGTACCCTAGACATTTCGATAAGTTCTAAAAGACTTACATCCTAGTGGCAAACCTGCCATTTGAGCTGCTGGTGGCCATTTATCACGATGCGTTGGGTTCTTGGCATAGAGGACTTCATGCCAGTCTGAGTCCTTGACGTGAATCTCATTAGGGTTGATCCGAACAATTGGACCTACGATCTATCAATTTCAACATATCCTCATGAAGAGAACGAGGATAGAATACCATAAACTTCATGTATCCGACCAAGTTCCCAGACGAACTGTCCTCCATCCCCTTTTAAAACATCATAATAGAACTCGTACCATTGGGTTGCAGCAGCAAGTTTTGGGCCAGGAAAACTGGCTAAGGGATGAAAATATAGCCTGTAAATAACTAAACATATAAAGTTGAAACAGAACAGAACAGCAAGATGAGGAACGATCTGAAGTATAGCGATGAACCACATTCCGGGCGACCCTGTAAAGCAAAAAAGGTGGAACAAAAGCACTGCCGGTATTGGGGTTCTCATGAATATATAGTTACTGTAGTGCTTCCCTGGTGAAGGTGGCTTGACAATCCTTGGAATTGCATGGAACATCGATTCTTAATAATGTAAGCCTGCATGGCCAAACGTATGGCGGGCGTCATTCAGCCGCATCTTTTCGCTCACAGTAACTAAGATAAGGGGGATAGAAAACCCTAAGCCTTGACGAGTGACATAAAGGCTTGGAAGTGGAAGCAAAACGTTTTGGCAAGTTATATAGAGCCTAATCACGCTCGCGTGAAACAGACTATTACGGAGGTACTTTCTCGGCCACTTTCTCCGCTTCCAATTCTACTTCCAGAACGCGTTGAATCCTATCATACAACGGGAGATTTGGTAGAGAAAAATATTTGGAAAACGATCATTCTTTCATTCGTCAACCACTGTAACCCGACACTCCCCTGATTTCTTATCTTCAGAACTGTGCCAAGTTTATTGTGGCTGTTCTTCAAAGATCTGATCATCTTCTTCGAGCTTATATCCTCTTCTGGACTAGCATACCTAAACCCGCCACACCACAACCTCAAACCCGACCCCCACCCTCACCTCTGGCCCACATACCCTTGTCTCCCTATTGTGTAATCTTACTTGGCTCATATCACAACATCGATAATTGTCCAACACCCAAAGGCTGCAGACATAGTTAGATTTTGAGTCTTTTGATCTAGTCACATTTAGTGTTAAGGTTAAAAGTTAACATAACTCTCTCGAGAAAACTAGCCATTTCGCTTAAACAGCTTTAGTGTGCATTACTTTCAGAACAAACCACAATTAACGCAACCTAAACTAGCAGTTTGTACCACTTCCTATATTCAGTAATTACTTAATCGGGCTTGAAAAAGATTTAGAAACTGCTAACAAAATACACCGATTTAACCTACAAAGCGTTTACTTGCCATTGATCACTCTTCGACAAAAACTATAAACAAAAAATTGGGGCAGATAAAAAAAATAGCAGGTATCCTTGCTAAAAGATTCATGGTTATAGTAATGGTAGGGCATTTGAGTCTACTAATTGATACTGTTTTACATATATTACTAATCTAGTGGAACGGTGTAGAACAGCTCAGTGTTTGAAAACCGTCAAGATTGGCAGACCAGAGGATCTTGGTGCCAAGAATATTCAATCACAGGATTTGTACAAGGCTCGCATAGAGGAACCCTTGAACAAGGAGCTTCAGGATGGGAAGAAAGCCTCTAGCCCTCAAATCAAGTTTATGGATTACGGAGATATCATCATATATGGAATAAAAAAAAGTTGATTTACTGAAGCCACTGAAGCCAACCCTAGCTTGCTGAAGGTGGTAATGTTTTCGATAAAGCTTTAATGGAGCAACCCCTATCAAATAGAAATTGAAAGCCTCTGTCACTGTAAATTTAGTAAACTGTTTTCCTGAAAGTTGTAACGTGATTTGCTTAAAAGCATATGTGCTCACCTCGAAAACAGTTTGAAGTCGTCTCACAGATGCTTGTAAACTTAGTGGTTGTGAAGCATTGAACAGACATCCCTATACACTGTGAGAAAGTATTTATACGAATTCAGCAGGTTTTTAATCATAATTCGAGCTCTGAATCAACAGTGTTCATAGTAGTAATAGAATTTTGAACACACAAATTACCAACCATAATTCTAGGGATGGTAGCTTTTCATTGCAGCAATTATCACCCATTATCAAGCATAAATCCAGAGAAAATGATCCTTTCTATAACACATATGAAGCACGTCACCACGTCAACCTGTGAGATAGCTAAAAGCATACTATGAACTAGCTTCCTACCCCTCTATAAACTTGTTGACCGCATCAACTACCTCCTTAGTTGCTGTCAAGTTAGGACAATGCCCCGTAGCAAGTTCGAAGGTTTGAACCTCACGACCAGTCTTCTTCATCTCTTCGACAAAGCTCTTCTGATAATCGAATGGCACAGTCATGTCGGCCGTACAATAAATATACCCAACCGAAATCTCACGCCAGGCAGCGTGCTTGATAGGTAGGTACATTCCCTTCCCATTCCAGCGCACCAGCGTCGACAAATGCTTTTCAACCTCAGCCTCATCGACGGTGGTAGGACCAACTATTTACGTCTTTGGGTCGTTGCTTAGGCATGTATTGTCCTCGTCAAAGTTGACTGCAATGGATACAAGGTCCATATGGCCAAACTCCTTAACCTTATCCATCATCCCAACCCCTTCTGGCATAGCGAATGCAGCCATGTAGATAAGATGGGAAACGCCTCCAGCAAGTCCAAGTGCAGCACAGCTCTCAATAACGAGCCCAACGAGTGAATTGCTCCCTACCTGCCCTCCATAAGAGTGCATGAGAGCAATGACTGTTCGTCCGGCACGCACAAGACTTGAGACGTAGGCACGTATCAAGTCTGAATCGGTGTATAAATCGGCATTGGGGGGTCGGCTCTAAAATTTGCGGGAGTTAGTAGACTGGTAAGAAGTTCTGATAACCGTAGGGCAGAGGTTCATGACATCCAGGAGAAAACTAGCGCGTACCTGATTCATGGATGGGAGACGTGGACAATGAACCTCATAGCCAGCTGCCTCAAGTGCAACGATGAGCTTCTCGTAGCTCTCGGGAACATGCCATCCGCCGTGGACGATGACGAGGGTTGGCTTGCTGGGAGACATAGCTAACTTGGTTGTGAAATGCTTGTTGATGTTGCACGATTTTTATTATCTTTATTAGCGTTAATAAAATCGGGAAATGAAGACATAAGTTGCTCAGAGACGGGGGATACCAGAGGGGATAAATAGTCAAATGAGCTGCTTGCTGCGGTTACTCTTGGCTCCACTTGTGACTTGCTATCTAGACGGGCAAGCTGATATTAACCCCCCATAAACTACGGGGCACTGGAGCATGCATCTGGAAATCAAGTAGCTGGTAGCACCCATTCCAGCTGACTAGTCCTACAATTGGAGGGAAAATTTCAGATGTTAGTTGGAGTAATGTTGGTTGGTGTTGGTACATGTTGCAACTGCTTGTGCTGTACAGTACGTCGCGTATGACTGCAGTAGACTACTGGTGTGCTGCTTTTAGAATCCCACGATGCGAATAGCAACTCTTTTGTTTGCCTTAGTAGGTCGAAGTGTATTGTTACGCCTCAACTTAAACACGTCCGTGATTGCCTCAATCAAAGGTATTAAAACTGACCAGCAATGAGCGCCTCGAGAAGATGTCTTGAAGTGGTTTTATGACAAAAGAATTCAGGTAATTAACTAGCATATGATTGAACTTAATAAGTTGACTATATAGTGTGTTAGTACTAGGAATTAAAGGTATACGCCTCAAAGCTATATCAACTAAATATCCACAGTCCACTTGGATCTGTAAACCCAGATACCACTACATATAGTAGTATATAACCATCATGAAAGTAGTACAAAAAACACTGTTAAACAAACATATGAGAACAATATCTGATACGTTCTCCACCATTACCTCACTTGCGCTTCTCATGAATTGCCGTTACAAACAGCTTCAATCGGATTATGAAACGCTGTTGACTGCCGGGAAAACCTAGAGATTCTCATAATATTGAAGACGGCGTCCAATTTGGCTGACAGGCTCTATACTGTCTCCGTAGTAATGTGATCTCCTTCCGAAACAGTGGAACCCCCTGTCCGCAAGATAGCGCAACTCTTCAATTTCATGTTCATTTTACATAGATTCTCGTAGAATCACCTCCAACTCAAGTGCTAGAATTAAGCACGATTGGAGCCTTTAATATATAGCCTAAATAGCTCATCTCATATTCCCAACACCTGCTTTCTTGAAAGTGATAGCCAAAAAAAAAGCCGAGTTTCGCGAAACGCCCTGACAATAATCCAATCCCGCATTGGAGCAATCCCAAATTGCGAATAGTTTACATCTACGTTCATGTTGATTTTAGAGTCTAGAATGAGCCCATAATTAGCGTTAGAAGTGATCCTTTATATTTCTAGATTTTACTAGAAACTATCAAAAGCCGCCATGTTTGTAGTCCCGTGATAACGCGACTCACTACACCTTTATAACCCATTATCCTGGAGCTGGAAGCAAAATCGATATTGGTCAAATTGCATGGATCAATGGCTACGAGAACCTTTGCTTTTTGTTAGGAACCATCACTTAACAAAGCAAGTAGCGAGGTTACCGAAGTTGCCGAGGGTATCTCCTAGTAGACAATAAAAGTGGCAGAGATTCGTTTTTTGATTATTAGCGTAAGCTAATTATAAGTATCAAAATGTTTAAAATATCTAGAATAATTACCTTTATTGTCCCTTTAGAGGGTATCTACTAGTTTAACACGAAAAAGGGGATCCGACACGTGATATGCAAGGGTAAACAGTGGAGATGATCCTCTTTCCAATTCAAGACAAATCAAGCAAACTCTAACACCAACCACTTCGTACATGAGCTGAAACAAGCTGACTTGTTTACACCCCATATGCTGGACCTTCTTCGGTACTTTCAGGACCCCACGCGTTTCTTTTTCTGCTTCGACAGGGGCTTTCAATACTGTAAGGCTGGCTGGCGTTTGGGACAGGCTTTTACGAGCCGCTTTCCATTTTCTCCTTGCTGTGCCACCTGTGCCATTGAGGCGTAAAGTTTTACCAAACTGTTCACCGATAATCAGGGGTATTAAGTATGGAGTTGAAGCACTTGCTATTTCATTTTGTCTCTCAGATCGCTTTCTTTTCATTTTGAACCATATCTCCCGCCAAGTTTGTTTATTGCCCAGAACCCCACATATATCCCCGTCTTGTCTTTCAACCTCCTTCCAGTAAATTTCAATCTGGCCAAATCTTAAGGCTCGCTCACTCTTGTTCTCCAGAAGATTTGAAGCCCCAAAAACCACACAACAGTACTTCGCGGCCATGGTTGATACTGTTTCCATCATCCTTGCGGTCGTATCCTTGGTGGGGTCACTCATCTCTGCTGGATTTACGGGCTGGGTCTCCTTTTATATTGACCAAGTCAAACGACGATCCGAAGCAAAGGCTTTGATTCACAAATACAGAGATCCTCTGACACTAGCTGCTTTTGACCTGCAGTCGAGGCTCTACGGACTCGTTCAACTGGACCTTCTCCACTACCACGAGGACGAGGAGAAGAAGAATCTCATCTATCTTTACTCAGCTTTCCTGGTTGGGCAATATCTGTCATGGACCTACATTCTTCGACGCCAGGGTCAATTTTTGAACCTTTCCACAGACAAATCAAATAACTTGAACAAAAGACTGGACGAAGTTTTGAGCACAATTACAAACGAATTCAGTCTAGACAATCGCCAAGGAGAGAATCCATGGATGCTATGGAGAGGACAGCAGATGGCGATCGGAGAGTTGATGACGAAAGAAGAGCAAGGCCAACTTTACTGTATGGGATTCGCAGCATTCGCCCACAGATACAACACCGAACCGGAGTTCAAGCATTGGTTCCACTCCATCGAGGACGGAATCTCGATGCTCGTTGATGCACGTGCGAAGCAAAATCGGATCGCTACATATAGACTGCGAAGAGTACAGCATCTGTTGATTGACCTTGTCAACCTGCTGGACCCTGTACGTCTGCAATCCTCAGCAAACAAGCAGCACAAGGTGGATCCCGCACATGAGTGCTTGTGTAGCGGTTGTCCAAGCCGGAAACAGGATTACCTTGTTTCGAAGGCCCCGAAACTTGCTGTGTAAATGGGGAATCGGAAGGCACGCCTGTAATTTTATGTTTTGTCATCGTTGATGAATCAATGCGGCATACTTACTTGGTTATGATGGAAAGAGGTGTTTTGAGGCATTATGTACGATCAACATTTTTTGGGGGGTCATGAGAGCGGCGGCATATCTGTTATACAAAAATCATTGTAAAAAGCCTCTTCAAGTTATACCAATAACATCATGGGCGTTGTACTTGAAGAGTCGAAAAACAGGATATATCTCGAACGGGGGATATACGAGTAGGTGCCGAGGATTGTAGTGTGAGAATATTATCACAAAATAGCGTTTTTATGCCTCCCCTCGGTGATTCCTTCCCCAAGCTTGGTGGGAATATTCTGGTCGTAATAAAATATATCTGAACTAGGGCATTATGTATTCAAATTCTTCTTTTCGTTTAAGCTCATTATTGTGGTCTGGATCTAGATGGCATTGCAACATAATCCATGAGTTTTCTATCCTCAACATTCGCATAATACAAGCAACATACTTTTAATCCAAAATTTACTATTCCATGATCGATCCGCCCGTTTCCTCTCCGTGGCATAATGATTCGCGCCTTTGATCAGTCTGTTAGAGCAGGAGTTACTCTAAATATATCAATCATAGTTTCTGTTCTTGTGTTGCGCTTTTCGAAACTATAAAGAGGTATTTTAAGTGTATCAAAACCCTCCAGACTCATCAAACTATCGTTTTCGAGATGTCCTGGTTATTACACGCGCACATGAACCAATCTCTTATTATAGCATCATACCCAGCGTATTGAATTCGAGTAGTTGAGTTCGGTAGGAGCACCAACTCAACTCAACTCCAACGTTCGGCATCTGGAATTCCTTTCTATTCCAGACCCCCCCCCCTCTAGAATAATTCTATTCCTTTTAGGATTTGGCTAGAAGTATTCCGTTCCAGACCCCCTTATTCCATGGAATTCATAGAATTTCCAGATGGAATTCACATAACCCGGAAAAAAGTCACTCCGATCCGACTAACTATTAGAAAGACTAACTAGAGTACCCTTTTAAAGATATGTTACGCAGAGCTCCCCCTTACACCCTACCTACCTAGACTACGAATATCGTAATATATAGAGTCTCTGTATTATCTACTAGTTCTTTTATCCTTCTATAGTTAATTAAGGTATATACTAGCATTCCTAATCTAGCCTTTTACTTGAATATATATAATAAATATATTCTATTCACTTAAAACCACGCGTTTTGATCAGTAAGAAAAGCCCCTGGAATTCCATGGAATATGGTTCTATTTGCCGAACGTTGCTCAACTCAAGTAGTGAAAATGGCTACTCTGCTCAATTCGTCAATTACTTAAGGGGTACACTAGGGAAAATTTTATTGTAAAAAGATTGTCGAAAAGATTAACTAGAGGGTACGATATGGCATCCGAAAGAATGATGGGTTTAACATACGTTGGAAAACAAAAACCGGGATTTGGTTTCATCCTAGGAGACGACTGTCTCAATGATATACGAGATTCTTACCAAGGGTTAAGTCGTGGACGGTGGACGTGATATTTGGGGTTTTTATCGTGCAAGGTGGCATACTGCTTACTTAGTATTCGCAGTACCCGGGATCCTGCCATGTAGAGCTGCGGGAGAATGCTTTTGGGAAATGTAAATGTAAGGCAAAAATATCGTTAAGGTAAGAACCTTTGGATAGTAAAGATAAGATGGTATAGTCTAGTAAACTAAGTGGAAATAAACACTATATAGAATAATTCTTTACCGCTCTTAGGACGCTAGATACCGCTTAAAGTATCGTTTATTTCTAATAACCGATTCCTTAAACTAGATATACTTATTGTAAGCTTATAGATTAGTATTACATATAACTACCTATATAAGATCCGAGGAAAAAAGTTAATTAAGGAATAATCTCGCTTATTTATTTAGAAGTAAAGTAATTAGAATATAAATAAAATAAACCCGATTTTAAGTCTACGAGTCCTTCGCTTAATATTTTAGTACTAGGTCTCATTTAAATAACGACTTCTTTCATAAGAAGTAAATAGATATAACGTAAGCCTAATAAATCTACTATAAAATTCGTTGAGATATTCACGTGGTACCCACGTGACCTGACCTTCGCGTATTACCACGAGTAGCTACCTACTATCTCTCCTCTAAGGAAGTAGACACTAAGTGATTCTACCTACCGGCTACATTCATGATTCTACAACATCCATTGTACCTGACAATGTTATCTTACAACTTTCACCATTTACTCTTGCTCTACCCGAGACCTCAAGCTTAACGAAGAAAATTATAAACATTGACGAAACTGATAGCTTCATCACTCCTTAATAACTACATATGCTAATCTATTTATCTACGATCGTTAAACAGGTCCTCTACGGGTATCAATCCACACCTCCCAATATTGCTTCCGATAAATCCCATGTTAATCATTCCCATTCCTCCATTCCTTATAGCACCTACCCAAACCCCAACTCTATTCCATTCCATCCAATCACAAACCCCTTCACACGAACAAAAGGCTGAAGCTCAATGCTCTAAACTCCAAAAACCACAACCATCAATTTCAGCATCCCACCATCAACAGGACTTTCCACAACACCACACCAACCCAGCGTACTATCCCTGAACACCTTCGCAATCATGGCACAAGTGCCCACATCCTCAAATCATCAAATGTACGCCCAAAACCATTCAACCTATCTTCAAGACTTACAATATCTTCACTTACACGACAAGATCCATGACACACGCCACGGTAAATACACTATACACCTACCACCGGAAACCCAAGTCTCGTCAGAATATCCTCAAGAAAAAAAGGTGTACAACCCGACAAATTCCCAAAAATCAAATCAAACCCTGCGGTTACCAAGGTCATATAATAACCGCAAAGAGGCACATGTCTAAGCCATATCCAAGCCACCAGAAGAGCAAAGCGACATTACGTCCACAATGATTAGAAACACGACAGTTGTGGAAACCACTTATTCCACCCCACCAACATCAACGAACATCTCTTCCACTTCAACCCCACGATCCGAGTGGATAGCTAGTGCCAAGCATCAAGAGACATCACAAATACGCTCCCACCAATCCTCAGAACCCCAGTTTCCGAAGCCAGAGCAATTACTTACAGCAATCCGCCCCTCTATCCCGGGGAAACCTCACTTCACTGCCGAGTCCCACTAGTTGTTATCTTACAGTACGTGTGATACCATATCTCGAGCAGAGAAGTGAGAACAAGCAGGGATCTCAAGATTTCGAATCAAATTCGATACAGTATCCGTAGCAAACAACCAGCCAAAAACATGAACTCACTTGATCCAGAAACAAAAAATTGAAATGAGAACTACTGTAGAAAAAGAAAAGAAAATGTTGCAATTTGCAAAAGAGAAGGGGTTCAACACCACCACCACCACCATACCCCGGCCCCCAAAACGAAAAGAAGATACGCCCTCGCTTCATATTCATATACCCTCTTCGTAATCACTCCCCCCCCCTTCCCCCTCT